AAGGCAAGTTAGTTGTAGTTTTAAGCGGTTTAGCAAGCAGGATTAAAACTCAAAATTCCTCCTCCAAATTTAACGTAGCCTGCTATCTTCTGCTAGATTAAAGTAAAAATGTATAATTATGTATAAAAATATGCTATTAAAAGACTTACTGACTTGATTTTTTAAGTGTAAAACCTCTTAAAGTGCTTAACAGGACCTTAATTTTATTAAGGTACTTGAACTAAGAACACAAGAATGAAGGCTTCTCTTCAGAGGGGAACTTTAGCTGCATCTAATCCTGATCAGCAAACCTGCTGTTGAACTGTACTTTTATCTATGCTGGATGCCAAATGGCATTTAAAATTTTTGGTAACATCGAACACAGACCCTTTTCTTAGCATACACATTAATTATGGCATAGAAATACACTTAAGATCCCAACAAACTTATTTCAGGTAAACAATTCCAATTCAAAAAACCCCACAAAGCCAAACAACTCAAAGCTAGACCCTAAAAAATCAAGGGTGCTCCCAGAAAAATACACAACGACGTCCCCCAGAAAGCTAAACTAATTTTTAAAATATGACCAGAATACTAAGTGTAGTCAATAGCAAGTCACTGGAATCCAACTTTAATTATGTAAAGATACACAAACTTCTGCCAGTCTTAAGTTAGGTCAAAGGGACTGTTTCAGTTAGCTAGAAGGGGTCTGCTACAGATCATAGAATCATAGAATGTTCGGGGTTGGAAGGGACCTCTAGAGATCATCTAGTCCAACCCCCTGCCAGAGCAGGATCACGTACAGTAGGTCACACAGGAAGGAGTCCAGTCGGATTTTGAAAGTCTCCAGAGAAGGAGACTGCACAACCTCCCTGGGCAGCCTGTGCCAGGGCTCTGTCACCCTCACAGGGAAAAAGCTTTTCCTAATGTTGAGGTGGAACTTCCTATGTTCTAACTTAAACCTATTATTTCTTGTTCTAATGCTCGGCACCACTGAAAAAAGACTGTCCCCTTCCTCTTGGATCTCACAGGCTTGGAAAAATGGGCTATTACGGCTATAACCTGATCCCTAAGGTCTCTTCCAACCTAAGCCATTCTATGATTCTATGATTCTGTGATTCTTATCCTTCTGTTCTCAGTCTGTTCTGGGAATGCCAAAATTTCTGACCTGTTTAAGACACCTATTTTGTTTCTAACCAAAGCACCCATCCTTTATCGTAACTTTTGTGAGCTGATCTATGGGCTGTCAGGCCGGCCCCACTCTCTTCAATGCTCCACACTGTCACAGCCAGGGAACGCGTCTGCTGCTTTAACTTCTTTTTCACATTCCACATGCCACGTCTTGCCAAGTGAGACCTAGAAAGCAGCTATGCCACTATATTTCCAAGTGACTTTCCTTCAAACAGTTCAAGGTTCTTAGGCTTCTGTTACAGTCTAATCTTTCCCCTTTCTAGCAAGGGAGGGTGCAAAATGAGGATGAAGTTGCTAAATAGAAAAGCATTGCTAAACACTCTGAAACTCTCAGATTACACAATTTAATAAACAGATTCTGTAAGAAAAGCTCAGTCACCCAATATTATTTTTCTTTCTTATTTTTGTTTTGCTTTCACTGGTGATATAGCAAAATAATATCATACTTCCTTGCACTATGTTTTTAATATCTCACACTTCAATTACAATGTAAATTTAAAATTAAGTATTGATCAGCTTCTGGACCTTTTGGAGTATTAATTTTTAGTGACTACCTTATGAACAGTATTAGAATATCAGAAATTATCGTTCAGACTGTATTTTTTTTAATTACTATATACAGAAGTAACAATTATTCATATGGTTAAGTCTCTGTATTTCTAAATTACCTTTCTGTGCCTGCACCACTTCATCATCAGATTCCTTTGGAACAAAAATCTCCTTTATAGCAATTAAGTCATTTTTCACAGACTCCAACTGCTCTCCATCAATTGTTGCTAAATAGGACTGAATCTGTAAAAGAAAGGACAGTAAGCATTCCTAACCAAATAGAGCATTTCTTAAATGCTCATTAAGAGCTTGATATCAAAATAGGCTAAGAAATGAAAACTTTCATCATGCTCCGATCTTGTCCCTAACACATTTTTAGTTCCCATTAGCAAAATTTGTTGACAAATATCACACCAGTCTAGCAAGATCATCAGGTCTCTACCTTCTCCCAGAACAACTGTTTTGAATTATAAATCTATGGTTTAATTGCAAACTGTAATAAACATTTTGGGATTGCCTGAATGAAGACAGCCGCAAAAAGAGCACAGGCAGAATTCACGGTTAGCTGGAGCACTCACAACACGAGAGGGAAAACAAGGCCTATTTCCTCTCCTTTAAAATGCAACCAAAATTCCTGACAGGCTACCTGTTCTGTGTTGTATTGACAGTTCTTTGCACCTCCAGGTCCCTGCCTGTCTCACAGGGTGGCATGCCTAAGTGGGAGAAAACAGATCCTTGGAATCCCTGTTTGTTTGCACTGCAGTTTTACAGTGTTAAACCCACCATCACACTCTCTGCCTACAGAAGCCAAGAGAAATGGCTTCTCTCTCCATAATACAAAATTTTACTTTCACGTTTGTTTCAAGATGTTGAGTTGGTGGCTTGTTTTAAGCTTCCTTGACGGATGTGCAGACCAGCTCAGTGAGAGACTAAAGGAAAATGTTATTTTCTGATGCTCCCCCTTGGTGTGTCCAAGCTCATGTGCTCAGGGTTAAATGCAGCATAAAATTGGGAGACTCAACTCAGGTTGAGAAGGATTACCTAGGACTTTTTTGTCCTTCTCTATAGCACTATACATTTCATAGGATTAACTGGGACCTTTTTTAATAGAAACTTTTAAAACAGAAGCTCAAAAATATTTTAAAATCCCTCCTATTAGAAACATATAGGATATTAGCAGTGCCTTCAGTCTCTCTTGTGCTCATCCTGTGCCTTTTGGGCTGTCAGTGTAAGTACCAAGCTTACAGTATTCTAAGTATTTTGTGTAAGTGTGTACAGTAATTGGAATATTCATCATGAAACTGGACTCGTTAACACCCACAGTTGCATTCAGTCCTGTTGGGAGTGAGTAGGACTATGGACAAGGGGTTCTCTGGGACATAACATGAAGCGCATCAGAAACCCCATAGTAACAACCTGCACAAGTCTTACCCTGGTGTTTCACAGTAAAAGAAAAATAGTGTTGACACATGTAATTAACCTGAACTTGTTTTCTATTCACCTCTTTCCTGTTTTGTGGGGGTTTGTTTGCAGTTTTGCTTTTTTCAAAAAATGGGCCCTTGAACCTTACACGTGGGTTTTGAATTTATGTTTTCATTTAGACATAATTGCAAAAAATAGAAACAACAGCAACAGTATGTAGCTAGCTGTTATTAATAGAAATTTCTTTTGTTTCTGAGAGTAAATAAAACATTTTAAAAAATAAGCTCGTTATTTTTTTATTAAAAATAACCCAGAGGGACAAGGAGTGCTAATTACCAAAACAAAATGAAGAAAACTTGTATTTTAAGAAATTTATTCAGAAAACTGTTTCAGTACAAAATACCACTGCTGGAATCAACATAATTCTGTTAATCTACTGTCAGAGACTTACTGATCTACAAGTAGAGTCAACAAATTGACAGGTGAAATTAAAATATATATA